CCACTCGTGCTTTCTGTCACTGTCTCTGTCTCTCTCAAATAAATAAATAAATATATACATACATACATAAATATCTTTAAAAAATTAAAATCTTTAAAAAATCTTTAAAAAAAAATAAAAGTTCCCCAGGCAGCTCTTATGTACAGCTAGAGTTGAGAACCACTGGTTTAGGAGAATCGCATCCACTCCCATGCCTTTTACTATCATCTATATGCTTTTTTGGTTTCTGGGTTCTGGTCTAATAGTCAGTTTTGATAAATAGAATAGGTATTACAGTATTTATACTTTCCATAGTATCATCAATAGAAAACACAACCACAATAATGGTTACTGGCCTTCAAAAGCCATGACAACGAGCTTTCATGATGGTACTTGCAGCTCTACAGATGCTGGTTCTTTTCTTAGTGGGGGTAGAGGGTAGAGGAGCAAGGTAAGAGGGTCACATGGAAGATACACTTCCAGATTTGTCTTCTGAACTCTGGACTCCTATATCCTCCTGCCTACTTTACATCTCCATGCACCTGTCGGATGCTTCCTGAAGTTGATGTTTAAAAATGAGTTCTTGGGGCGCCTGGGTGGCTCAGTCGTTAAGCATCTGCCTTCAGCTCAGGTCATGGTCCCAGGGTCCTGGGATCGAGCCCCGCATCAGGCTCCCTGCTCCACGGGAAGCCTGATTCTCCCTCTCCCACTCCCCCTGCTTGTGTTCCCTCTCTCACTGTGTCTCTCTCCATCAAATAAATAAAATCTTTAAAAAAAATAAAAATGAGTTCTTAAATATCTCCCCTAAACCTAAATTTCTTCTCTCCTGTTCTTTCCTGTCTCAGTACAGTGGCTCTGCTGTTGCTCAAACCTGGGAGTCAATCATGATTTCTCCAGCTCTTTCACCTCATTAATCCGATTTATCAGCAGGTCCTGTCAGCCCTTCCTCCAAACGTGATCTGGATTCTGTTTGCTTCTTTCTATCACCACTGCCCTCACCCTGGACCAAGCCATGGCATCTCATGCCTGGTTGACCATAATAGCCTCCTAGACACTTCCGCATTGTCATCCAATCCCTTCAGCCCGGGTGACCTTCTAGAAATGTAAATCAGATCTTTACTTTCCACTGCTTAAATCCTTCAGGAGCTTCCTATCAACTCAGAGCAAAATCTAAAGTCCTTTCTCTAGGGCCCAGAAGGGCCCACAGTTTAGCCACACCTCCTTCCCTGAGCTAATGTTGCTCCACTTTACCTTCTCAGTATGAATGAGCTCTACAGCTCCTTCGTACTTCAGACCTTTTCAGGAACTTTTCCTTCCTCTCAGTGCCCCTAGGCCCTTGCTCTTTGCACAGCTGGCAACTTCCTACCCTTTAAGTCTCTGCTTAAGTGTTGCCTCCTTCAAAGAGATCTTTTCTGTGCTCTCTACCTAAATTATGTTCCCACCTCTCCACTCTCCACTTTTCTCCACAGCAATTTGTTTCCTCAAAAAAATATGTATTGAATGAACTTACACATTGTAAACACTTATTTTTGTACTGTGTATAAGTTCATTTATCCCCCCTATTCATGACCTGAGGCTGAGAGCAAATGATAAATTTTGTTCCGTCTTGTCTTTGTGGAGCCCAAACTAGGCATCTCTTTAAAAGTCTTGGCAGGTAAAAGGAAAAGAGAATCACCAGCCGTAGAATTCTAGTGAAGAAAGCCATGTCGTCCACTTCTTGTCTCTGCGTAGTTGAAATATAGTCCTACTTGGCAAAATAAGTCCATCTGATCCTCTAAGAAACTGTTGAGCATATTATGCCACTGATAATTCCCTAGAAATGCATGTTATTTAAAAGTACAGGGGACTTTTTTTTAACTGAGCAATAGGAAAATCATCTGTAGAGATTGTTTTACAATTGGGTCCTCTGTTGTGTTGGAGAAAGCACTCCATATGGCTAAATGATCCAACTTAAGCAAAAGTGGTTGTACTTTTAGTACATAAAGAAAAATAAGAATTGTGTTTCAGAAGAATAGGAGGCTCTTTAATAATAGTAGAAACATTAGATGAATCAAGTAAAGACTCAGGTTTTGGGGGACAACCCCCCCAAATAAGAGTAATTTGAATCAGATAATCAATAGCTGAATACCAAAGCCACATTCATCCTATTTATTGGCCATTGGTGACCTGAATGTTTCCTGATGTAGATCAAGCATAGCCTAAGTCCAAAGCATAGACCTGTCCTATGCCAGTTTGTGTGCCTGGATAGAGTGATAAATTGCAAACTGTAATTACAGCCCTAAAGGTGTTTTGTTTGGCCTATCAGAGGGTTTCTAAAATTTGAATGTGAATATCTTTTGGCAAGTCTTCACTCCCCAGTTTACCAAATTTCCCACCACTCTCTCTTGTCTTTAGCACAACCCATTTACCCGTTAGTGCTAACTTTGTGACCCCTTAAGACATTTGAGTTTGAGGGCCCTGCTTCACACTTTTAGCCTATTGGAATTGCCTATGGTATGTTACCAAAAAGTTCCTCAAATCAGATTGCCTCCATATTTTTTCTTTTTCTGCATCAAATAGGGTCATTCACATGTGAAACTGCAGCTTGCCGCTATGTTTTGTATATCAAACCTCATATGGAATGAAGAGGAAGGTAAGAGATTGGTGAGATCTGTTTTGAGGACAATTATGGGAGGGAAGGTAGCAGATGTCCCTGAGATCCTAGATGCAGGCATCACTCAGTGGGTCCTGAGCATTCTTTCAAGTTAACCTTGGTATGAGAATCCATGGGACTAGCCAGAGTTGGCTGGACAGTTAACACTGAGCCCCACCTTGAAGTCAACACTGCAGGAGATTACAGAGGATGGGGGTAAAGGAGACCCTAGAGAAATAAGTGGCAGTCCATGCCCTTGAGAGAGCTGAGGAGGAGGTTACGGGGATGTACTTGAAGAAGATGAGAGGTGGGAGTGGATGGGCAGATTGGCCTTTCATTGTGTGAAGAGGGACACTTGTAAGGGTTACAGGCATATAAGCTTAATGAGGAAGAGGGTGCCTTGGTGAGAAATGAGAAATACACTGTGACTAGTGAAGCAGCCAGTCTATAAGGTAGCGTCTGTGAATCAGAGGTCCTCCATCTTGACTGCATAATAGACTCACCTGAGGATTTTTGCACCAGACCAATTTAATCAGAATTTCTGGGAGGCGGGTTGCAGGCATAAGTTTTGTTTTGGGGTTTTTTTTAATTCCCCAGGTGATTCCAATGTAGCAAACATATGGAAGAGCAGTTGTTCTCAGTGCTGGGCTCATTGCATAAGAATCACCTGGGGAACTTTTTAAAATGCAGATTTATGGTTTTTACACCTAGAGATTCTGGTTCACTGGGTCTAGAGGAGCTCAGTGCATGAGTGAGTCACTGCAGGCACTTTTCTTCATGGGAAGGAAAGACTCCAAGAGGATTACTCTACCCAGCAGCTGTGTCTAGAACAAAGTGGAAGGAGGAAAAATTGGATTCAACATATAGGCCTAGAGACCAAGTACCATCCCGGTGCCAGGGAAACAGAGCCACCCTCAAGGAGGTCCTAGTCTAGTTGGAAGATAGGACAGAGCAGTATGAAGTTGGAACTGCCACATGCTAAACAAGAGGCAGCAGGAAGTGCTGGGAGGTCAGAGGAGGGTGGAAGAGAACAGAAGGAAAAATAAGACCTGTCTGGAGTAGGAAGAGCCTGACTTGATATGTCCAGACAGAAGATATGAAGATGGGGCCAATGGCAGAGGGCCTTGTGCCAGGCTGAGGAATCTGACCTTGACCCTATAGTCCATGGAGAAATTAATCTATCAGCAGAACCCAGGATGGACTGCAAGAAAGAGGGTCAAGGAGCAGAGAGACCAGTTAGAATGTTGTTAGAGGATCCAAGCATGAGGCAATCCAACTTCATTGGGGATGAGGGGGATGGAAGGGTGGGGAGTAAAGGACCCTGGTAATGCTCTAGATTGTTGATTGCACATCAAGGAGAGCAATTGCCTGGGTCATGTCCCCAGTAACCTGTTAGCTTTAATCTCTTAGGTTCACAAGAACGCCAGGATAAGTTACGAGACATGGGCATCGTAGATATTCTACACAAACTGAGTCAGTCACCAGATTCAAACCTTTGTGACAAGTGAGTATCAAAGGAAAAGGACCTTGTTTTGGGGTATGTTGGATTCTTTTATGAAAGGGTTTGGCTTGCTTAGTAATTTACGTTGCCAAACTTAAAATCTTTTAGATTCTTGAGTTCCCTTCTTATTCTTCTATGAGCTAACTGTATGGCTTTTGAATAAGAAATAAACTAATAATTAGCAAATTATTGGGGCGCCTGGGTGGCTCAGTTGGTTGGGCGACTGCCTTCGGCTCAGGTCATGATCCTGGAGTCCCGGGGTCGAGTCCCGCATCGGGCTCCCTGCTGTCGGCAGGGAGTCTGCTTCTCCCTCTGACCCTCCCCCCTCATGCTCTCTCTCTATCTCATTCTCTCTCTCAAATAAATAAATAAAATCTTTAAAAAAAAAAATTAGCAAATTATTAAAGATTCTCATCTTACTGTGAGTTAACATGAGCCTGAGCCATCTTAGTGTATATCTGGAGAGGATCCAGGGATCATTCTCTTGACATTAAAATAGAAAGGAAGGCCAATAATAAAAACATCCATTATCTAAAGATCTCACTGAACGCCTGCCTTGTGTAAGCCTGGCCCGGCTGCTGAGAATATGGCAATGACCACTGAGGGGTTCCTGTCTTCACCATTTACTGGGAGAGGCAAAATCATAATCAGAGATCCCTCTACCCTCAAAATAGCCAAAAATGTTCTTCCTGGCTGTGTACACTCCCTCCTACCACAGCCTTCACTCTACAGCTTGCTTTCATGCTCCCCCAACCTGTCCTCCAGACACACCTGCCCTCTTGCAGTGTCACATCTTCACGCATTTACACATTCTGTTCCATCTGGTTTGCCATCCCAGGCCCCTCTCCTCTGAATTCCCCATTCATTCAGCAAATATTTTTTGAATACTAACCTCTACCAGGGACTGTTTTAGGCATTGGAGATATAATGATGAATAAAATTGATGAAGTCCTTGCCCTCGTGGAACTTACATTCTAGTACAAAAGACAAACAAATGAATATGTAATATGATAGCAGGTCATGAGATGTACTATGAAGAAAAATAGCAAGGTGAAGGAATGAAGAGTAAGAAAGTTTCTTCTCAGATAGATTAGCCAGTAAAGGCCTCTCTGAGGATGTGACATTTGATCGAAGACCTGGGTGAAATGAGATAGTCTGCCAGGCAGATGTTCCAATGAATAGTATTCCAGGCAGAGGGGACAGTGAGTGCAAGGCTCTGAGGCAGGAACAAGGTTGGCATGTTCAGGAAACAACAGGAAGGCCAGTGGAGCTGCAGAAAAATAAATGAGGGGCAGGGTGGTAGTAAGTGCACTCCAGGGAGCAAGTGGAAAACTTTGTCGGCCATAGTCAGGACTTTGGATTTTATTCAGAGTTTAATAGGAAGTCATTGGAGAGTTTTGAGCAGAAGAGACCCTATCTGACTTGAATTTGTATGAAATCACTCTGGTGGCTCTGTAGAGAATCACCTGGGCAAGAACGGAAGCAGGGAGAGCAGTTCAAGACTACTGTAGTCCTGTAGGTAAGAGATGAGGGTGGCAGTGGTAGAAATACTGAGAAGTGGTCAGATTCAGGATTTAATCTAAAGAGAGAGAAAACAGGATTTGCTCAGGGATTTAATATGTAGGATATTAAAGAGAGGAAAGGAAAATGCCTAGAGTTTTAGCCTGAGCAACTGGATAGGGTGTTGCCATTTACCAAGATAATGAGGAATACAAGAGAAGTAGGTTGGGGTAGGGAGAAGTGAGGGTTCTTGTTTGGACATACCAAGTTTTGGATGCTATTAGATATCCAAGGGACTTCTCAGGATAATGGGGCTGAGGGTATAAACTAGGAGGGTATATAAAGCCATGGAGCTGGATAAAGTCACATAAGGAAAGAAAGAGAGAGGAAAGAAGACAGGAAGGCTAAGGACTATGCTCTGGAGCTCTCCAGCATTTAGGGGTAAATGAAAAAGATCCAGCAAAGGAAAGGAAGGAACAACCAGTGAAGTAGGCAGAGACCCGGGCACAGCAGTTGTCCTGAAAGCAAGGGAAGAGAATGCCTGGACAGTGGCCATTTATCCTTCACAACTCAGATCAGGTTGTCACCTTCTCCAGAAGATCTTGCCTGATCCATTCTCCACCCTAGGCTTTGTCAGGGGACCCCTTCTGCCAGGGACTCCTGTAGCACCCATAAGACATACCACACTGTTGTCATGGCTGTCAGCTTGCTTGTCTGCCCCACTGAAGGGAAAAGGCACTTGGTAATTGCTCCTTAAGTGAATGGCTGTGCCCGACTCTGGAGCACACAGAGCAGGCTGGGCCCCTGCCTCCCTGAAGCTTGCCATCCAGTGGGTTAAAGAAGACAAATCCCCCAAATAATTGCGGCCCAAGGCTGCTGCTCAGCTGAGTGTCCCATCAAAGGCAACTGAAAGCTAGGCACTTGCCGAAGGCTGGATTTGAGCTGTACTTTGAGGACTGGCACCCGTGCCTCCACCTCCATAGTGGTAGTAGCAGCTGCTGACTTAAGCGGGGAGCTCGGTCAGCCTGTCTCTCCTGGTTGAGGGCCACATCGTTCCCTGGGTTTCTTTTCTCATGTTCGTCCAGAAATGAAAATAGTTGTGCTCGAAATCATTTCTAGGATGACCTGGAACGTTAAAAGAGGCCTCACTAGCAGGATGTACAATAGGTTTCAGCCCTGGCCTACAATGGTTTAGATCTGTCTGGTGCTGTTTCCCCATATTTGTATGGCACATAAGTTTTCAGCAGTTTTTAAACCGCGTTAAAAGAATCAAGGTTTGAGCTACCCTGCCTAAGTCCATCGAAGGAAAGATGATCTTGCCTCAAGAACCATCCACCTGAAAGACTCCTTAGATATTAAGAGATAGCAGGAGGATAATAAGGTTACAGTCTCTGAGGTCTAATATAACAAACATAGGTAGCCCCTGAGAAAGATTCAGAAGGAGTCTGAATTGGTAGTTCTCATTTTAGTCAAAACCTTTAGTCTGTTACCTAAAGAAGACATCTCTCAGGTTCCTTCTGTCTTTAAGGCTTTGTGATCCTTTGACTTTCAAACACTTAGAGATGAGGAGCTATTGCCAACCAGCCCTTTCCACCTTAGGCTCAGAGTGTCTTGGGACTGTGCGGTGAGGTAGATGATCATTAAGAGGTAGCCTGTGGCATCATTCATAAGCTTGTTTCTGTAGGAAAATGACCTTGTAGAACCCAACTCACTTATAACTTGGAGACCATCTGTATGGGGCTTTCCGTTTTGATGGATTGGACTATATAGTCTTAGATAATTGCAAGAACATTTCCCTTAGTATCCACTTTTAAAACCGTAGGTCATACCCATTACTTCACTATAGAGACTGCACTTGCATCCAACGTATTGCATGCCCAGTCTACCTTGGCTTACTTTCATCAGCTAGTAGTAACTGAACATTTTAGCCATTTCTTTCTATAACCTAGCAGGGGAGACCATTGCTAAAACTTGACTTCCTAATTCCCACAATTGTAGCCTCTTGAGAACCTTTACCAAGCTCATGATTGGAGTAGTCAAGGAGGCCTCCTCAGTCCCAGCTCAAAGGAAGACCCTTTTACAAGGATCAGGATGCACCCATCCTGTGTGGCTGTCATGAGACATTACATCTCTTCTTCTCCAACTAGCTGTCTTCTTCCCCAACCACCCTAACAACCTACCTCCTATGCCAGGTCAGTGTCCGCAGGCATGATGAGAAGAATGAGATGAAACTATAACCTCCTTCCTCAATTTGAAGGCATTTGAACCATGAGACAGTCTTGGGTTGTGAGCACTAGGCACCCCCTGCACCTTCTAATCAACACCTGAAGGCCTCTCCCTGGGTCAGTTTTCCTCTTAGCTTCCCAGAATCCTAAGTGTCCTCCCCAGTGTCCTGCAGCACCAGCTAAAAACCTGCATGGCAGTAGGAGAAAGTAAAGAATTCCAGACCCATCGTGGCCAAATGCCAGTGACAAAGGGAAACTAGAATTCACTGCAGCAGGTGGAAGGACAAGAGCAGCCCTTCCTAAGAGAACCTCAGGAAGAGGAATGTAGCCAGCATGGGTTTGAAGTTATCTGCTGACCACAGATCTCTGCCCCTTACGGTATTCGTCCAGCTGGGCTCACCGCAATTCCCTTTGGGGATCTTTTTAGACTCCCCCCCATTACCATCTTTGAGCCACAGGATTTTTGCCTTAATTACACTTCAGAGAGGATGGCTAACAGGAACTTTGTGATTTCAGGGCAAAAATGGCACTGCAGCAGTACCTGGCGTGATGGGAGCGCCCCGGGCACCTGCAAGCATCCCCCGTCCTTGTTCAAGGAAGTACAGGAACTAGCCTCATTTGATTCCTTCTATTTGCACAAGTCACCTTGGACTGCAGGGAGCTGTTTTGCAAAAGCAATTTGGTAGGCTTAGATCTCAAATTCATCTTGAGAACATTTTTTTGAGGTAGTAATTTCCTCAGAGGACTATTGTGTTTTATTTTGGTTTTTTTTTTCTGAGCTACCTGGACTCTTTATTAGAACAATCAATCATTTTCCTTTGGACCTACAATTTTTTGCCTATGCTGCAGCCACTTTGTGAGTGAGAATGAATGTGTCTCTGCACACATAGGTGTGTGTGCGTGTGTGTGCACATGGGTCAGAATGAATGGATGTGTGTGTGTGTATGTGAGGGATACCTCAAATTTTTCTTTTCTTATTTTGTGTGAAAATCTCTTTTCTACAGATTTTCCAGGGTTTAAGCATTGCTTGCTGTATAAAAAACTTTACTGAATTATATACAGTTTGAATGAAATGTTATTTTAAAAACAAAACAATTGTTAAGTGTTCCATAAAGGTTATGTTGAATTTTGGTCAGATGAATATTTGTAAGTAAAAAATATATGCATTTCTGAACCTCAACTTACATAGATTTTCTTTATAAAAAAAACAAAAAAACAAAAAACAAACAAAAAGGTTGGCTGTAGTTGGCCTGGAGTAACAGGCATGATACATGGTGCTGTGCAAAATAGTAAGCTAGCGTCTTACTGCCGTCAATATCAGCAGGTACAGAGCCTCTTTTCAGCCTAATTCAATAAGCTCTCAGGCTTCCAAGTCAGATGGACAGGGTGGAGTGGAGTGAGGCAACAGATTCACCATAGGATTTTTGAACCATCAAGGGGAAATATAACTACTGATAGTGAAAGCCCAGCCCTGACTCTGGCAGGCTACACTTGGCAGGAACTGGGCACCAAGAGCCTCCCAACGGCCCTAAATCCTGCCATTGGTGTAGCGTTATCTGGCAGGATTTAGAGCCAGTCATGAAACCTTATGCTCAAACTAAAGTAGGTCATCACTTCCTGGAAACAAAGTCCGATCACCTTGTGCTTCCTGAAACAGTATATATCACTGTGAAACTAAAGAATGCTCTACAGACTCCTCTGTAGAGAGAAGCGAAGAACAGGATAGTTTAGAAAGCTGTTTTTCTCTTAGCTATACTCAGCTAAAATTCTACTAGTCACTCAGGACTGCTATTCAGTGTGCTTTTGTAAAATGAGATAAAAATTTGAGTAAGACATGTGGCTGAGATCTTTTCCTGCATGAAGCCCAAAGCACTGAAGTTTGAGCGAGGGAAAGGGACTCTCCCCAGAGGATGGAAGATGGCTTCTTGTACCACCAGTGCTCCTTCACCCTTCTGCAGCCCTTAGCTTGGCACCTGGCTCCAGCTTCTGGGGCAGCTTCAAGGTGAACTCCACAGAGGTTGCTCTTGACTGTTTGGAGGAACAACCAGCCTGCCTTTCCCTTTGCTAACAGAAGTTCAGAGGCATTGCGGCCCAGAATCGAGGTCTGTGGCGGAGAAGCTTGCCATGAGTGTGTGCCACTGGCAGAGTCCCAAGCCTACCAGCCACTCCTGATGGGGTTGCGCACACCGAGGCCACCCCATCACCAGCCTGCACCTTCCTTGGAGGATTTAAATATGTTTGATTGCAAATGAATGTTTTTAAGTGTATTTAATGCAATTTTTCCTGTTCTCAACATGACCCACCCAAGATCCAAACACAGAGATTTCCAAGTTGTTATTTTTTTTTTTTTAACATCACCAATTTAAAAATCTGTCACAACAGGGACTTGGGTTTTGTGCGGCCATCAGAGTGCTAATGTGAGAAGGCCAGTTTAAAGAGAATTGAGTTTATTGGGAATAAAGCCTTATTTAGGCCCACTCATTGACACTTCTAGTACTGAGAAAATATCCTTGGTTGGCATTTGTAACACAAACACTATAGAGTTGGTGTTTAAAAATACCAGGTAAATATTAAGGAAACCAATAATGAATTGCTGAGACAATCTTGAACCCAGATAGCATTAGAAAGCTGAAAGCCCAATGAAATAACACTTTCACACTTAAACTCTGTGGATAAATCTTGCCTGTGGCTATAAACAGATGGTCAAAGAAAAAGTGCTTTACTATAATTAACTTTTCTGATTTGAATGAAGGAAAAATGTATTTATTAAAACAAAGCTGTTTGCTGCTTTAGGCAGGTGCAGTGTTCAGTCAGCAAGGAAGTGGGAGGAATGGGGCGTGGTCTGTTGTCTCCACCCGAGTCCTTCACTAAGCTTCTCGCTCTCTCTAATACTGCATTCTGTTTCTCCTTTTGTGCCCTGATTGTAACCCAAAATTTATGAACTAGAAAAGAATGTCCAATTTAATAAGTTGCATTTTTTTTTCCTTAAGCACTTTATGCAGAACAATACATGTTCTTCTGGTAGTGTTTGGATAATATGATTTTAACACATGCTAATAAAAGCCAAGAAAAAAATCATGGCAACTTCTAAAAAGGAGTCTGTTTTCCGAATGTCTAGAACATTAGGAAACATTGGAAGATAATGTGTCCCAGCTTTTGGAACTTACGATTCTTGGTGAATAAGAGGCCAGGGAGTGACTTTGCATTTCAGAGTGGGGGCCGGTGCCCTGTGGTAGTTACAGCTATGCTATAGGGGGCATCTGCAGCAGTCTGGGAACCCCTCTCCTTGGCCTCCTGAAGTCTAGCAGACCTTTCACAGGTGGCCACTCCCAGCCACCAGGACCTCCCCAGTGTTGTGTCCACTGCCTCCATCCTCTCCTCAGCCCCTTAGGTACGCCACACTTCCACTGCCACTACTCACTGGCCTCAGGCCCAGAATTTGGCGGATGACCAGCGGCCCCAACAAGCCACTGCTCCCCTTTGCAAGGATGCCCAGGTGCTCTTCATGGACTGCACACTCTTCTCCCCATCTCTAAAATGTAGAGAAGCACCTCTTCCCTCTTGGCCTCCCTAGAAACAGAAAGCCAAGGACATCTACCCCGGAGCGTGGGGGTTGGGGAGAGAGCGTGGGGGGTGGTGAGGTGGTTGGCAGGGGAGGGAATTCCCTTGCCACAGGGCAAACATGAAAGTGAGACCTGGGAAATGGGAGACTGACCCCAGATTCTAATGGAGAGCTGACAGGAGGAGGTCCCAACACCTTGCCACCTGGGATAGGGGCTGGTGCTGCCCCAGTCCTGCTCCTTTGCACATTTCTCCTGACTGTTGGGCAGAGAGGCCTGTGTCCATTTCCAGCATGAGGGTAGTTTTGGTTTACGCCCTGGCTTCTGGGAAAACTGGGAACCCCTGCCTCAAGGGCCACATCGTGGCCTACGTAGTCACCTTTCCTCCCTATATTTATGCAGCCCCTGACTCCTGGCCTTGGCTCTGCTGAGCAGTCGGCCCTCTCGCTGAGTGGGGAGCCAGAGCCAGTCATTAGAAAGGAACCACCCTCTTTATTTCATGCAGTGGGGCCTGCCTTCCACCCTATCAGGCATTCACACCCAGGAGCTGAGAGGTCTTAATGCCCAAAACAGCACCCATTCTGCATGCCCTGGTTTGCTTCCACTGTAGGAAGCCAGGCCCAGGGCCTCTGCTAAGGAGTTCCATCCTCAGAGTGGGCTGACATTTTAGCCACTCTCATGAAGCTTCTCTCCTCCAACACCCCCCCTCCCCCGCACCCCTGTTACTTCTGCTTTGAACCTTCCAGACTCTAAGAAATGCTCTACCAAGTTATAGATGGAAAGTATGTGTCCCCACTTCTCCCCCTCTAGTGCCCTGCCTTCCCCTCTCCCAGCTCCACCACTCCCAGCTACTTCCTGGGGAGGCTTAAAGGTCATCACAGACAGCAACACGCATCACCCCTACAGTCTCAGTTCCGCCACCTACTCTTCCTCTCCCCCCACTGCTTTCAGAGGCCTTGGGCAGACCATTTCTCATCTCTCCACTGGTGGAAGATCCTTGGCTTCCCAGCTTCTGGGGAGATCAGATAGCGGTCAGCTGGGTGCACCCCCAAGTAGCTCATTCAGAGGCACGCAACACCTGTGTGTGTAGAAGAGGTGCAGGGTTCTAATGCCCCTGCTCCTCCAAGGCATTGAATCCCCCTCTTGAGCCCACTCACAAAGGAAAGAGCACAGTCCCATGGTGGGCTGAATATCTGGAGGTCTGGAACAGTGGATTCAATTTTCCTGACATCCCGTCAGGGAGGGACCCTCTGAGTACATTGTTTCTCATGGAGGTCAGTACAGATGCTAATGAACACAACGGGCATGCATGTTCGCATCTAAAGGTGACAGTCATGGGGAATGCAGCCACCCACCCAGAGTCACAGGACTTGCTCCCCACTTCACACAGCCTGACTCATCCTTCCGTCCCCAGTGCCAGCATAGCATTGGAATAAAGAGTAATGCACCCATGAAGAGCAGTCTTCTGGGACCTAACTGCGCATTTAAAGAACTTCAAGTCATAGAGCAGAGTCTTCTGGAGAAAACCAGCAAATGAAAGGAAATCGCTAACATTTGCCTTGGGGAGTAGAACACAGCCTTTTCCTCAGAGAGGAAATTGGATGCCTGGGCTTAGTGAATTTTCAAATGGACCAAAGAGCAAACTAGCAGGAGGGAGTAGCTATCCATGTTACTGTTCACAGGGGTAATAATAGTTACTTTTTTATTGAAAACCTTCTGTGAGATTTTCAACCTCAAGGGCACAGCCATGGAAGGATGGGCTCAACCAGGTGATGTAGCGAAAGCTGGAGGCAACTTGGCTCCACTGGGAGCTCTCAGACTTTAAAATTAGGCAGTAGCCAGAATCGGAAACCAAAGAAACGGGGAGGGAGCATCAAGAAAATCAGATGAACCCTGGTTCCAAATGTAACTCCCAAGTATTTCTTTATGAACATGGCCTGATTCATGGAGAACCTCAGGTGGCCAACTGGGCAGCGTTGCAGGACTGTCCCCGTGACTGGGTAGGCAGCAGGAAGATTAAAGCCAATTTCTATCTGCCTCCACATCCATATGCCTGGAAGTGTTATAGCCAATCTTTTTGCACTGTTTTCGAGTTCATAGTTACCAACTTGAACTTTAAACTTGTTTAGTCCACAAAGTAGATTTATTATTGGGGCAACACTGTCCTGTGTAACTCAGTATCCCCTGAGATGTCACCATATCACGCCAGGGTAAAATAACAGATGTCCATTTATTTTATAAAATCCCAGAGGTAGCAAAAAACAAAAGCAAAAAACTATGTATTCTATATACTGTTTAATAAGGCAAGAAAGTATATACTATTCTTATTGTTCATGAGACATAGCTAAACCAAAAAAGTATTGGTGCTGAAAAGAGTAAGTTCCGATTCTGGAGCTTTCCTATGTGCAGCCGATTCGAGTGCACTGACATTTCATCTCGTGGCCTTGCCCCTGGTCACATGCTCCGGAAGAGCAACCCAGCCTCTCAGTCCATGTCCTCAGGGAATCGACGTGCCTCGGTGGGGCCCGCCGCTCCTTCAGCCCCGTGGCCTGTGGGACAACAGATGTTCTGCAGGACTTCTGAAATGTAGCCCTGTGCCCGTCCTCTGTCCCACTCACCATCCACAAAACAGCAGGAAAAGGGGATCTAAGTACATCACAGACAATGAAGTGAGGGGTCAGGGTGGAAGGGACAGCAGAGAAAGGTCCTAATACGTGTGTTCCGGACCAGGAATTAAAAATTAGGAGAATGAGGGGCACCTGGCTGGCTTGGTTGGTGGAGCATGAGACTCGATCTTGGGGTTGTGAGTTCGAGCCCCATGTTGGGTGTAGAGATTACTTAAAAATAAAACCTTTAAAAAAAAAATCAGGAGAATGAGTAATTTGTTGAGGACTTAATATGTGTCAGGCCCCAGGCTAAGAACTTCAGTATCCTTTGTGTCCTTCCATCTTCACAACAGCCCTGTGAGGAAGATCCCTGTTATGGAGATGTTATTATGGGGCTAATAATGGGTCTGTCATACGGGGCTAATAATGGGTCTGTCAATATCTCCATTTCACAGATGAGGGACCTGGGGCCCAGAAAGGTAACTTTCCCAAGGCTATTCAGCTGACAACTAGCGGAGCCAGGATTCAAACCCAGGATGGTCTTGTCTCCAGTGCCCTTGAGCCCTGACCCTTAGCAGAGACAGTGATGGGTAAGTTGGAAGCACACTGTGCTCCTGACACCTGAGGAGGACTGACACATCAAACAAATGAGCAGCACATCAGCACCCCGACAAGCCTGCTTCAGAATCATGCTCTCAGGAGGCTGGGTATTTATCCCTGGGATGTGTCTGGGCTCAGACCCCTGTGGAACTGTCCCCTTCGCTCATTATCACCTGGGGCCCAAAGGTCAGGCTCGCGATCTCCCAACACTCTCCTCAGTAGCTCCGATGAGTATTCCCCAGCCGGGCCACTCTCCTCCTTCCCCAGACTTGGCCCTGAGTTATTCTACTTGTCTCCAATCGCCCCCCAAAGGATGAAGATGTGCCATGACCCTGGACACATAAGAAAATGCATCAGGGGCGCTCTCTGAGGGCAGGTCCCTCGAGGAAAGCGGGCCCTGGTCACCAGAGTGAGATTTCCTCCCAGCAGGGGAATGGCTTTGAAGAACCACAGCACACACTTGCATGAGTCAAACTGGGTCTTTTTGATGCCTATAACGCCACACTTCCCATGCTCTCTCTACTCTACACCCCACCGCCGCACCCAGCTTGCCCCTCAGCTGGCAGCAGGCAGCCACAAGGATTAAATGAGGGCCGACATGGGCCAGCTCCTGTGCCATCTTCCATTGCCCTCAGGCCACCTATTCTTACTCAGCTGGATTCAGATCTTGAGGAGACTGTGAACATAGCAAACATTTAGGTAAATATATTGATTAAAACCCAAACATTTGTGCCCAAGTGTGTTGTTACCATTTCAGATCTACATGCAGCCTTCTCCCAGGAATCCCACCCTCACATCCTTTGCTTTTTCCCAGGATACTCACCCCCTGGCCCCTCCCACCTCACCTCAAGCTCAGACCACGGATACCCAACTCGGCAGCAGGAGCATCATAGGCCAGGCCTAGTTCTACTTGTGGAGTGGGGTAAGTCACATGCACTCTGGACCCCTTGGGTTTCTCATCCAGATTTGGAGGTGGAGATGACCTAGCACACTTTACCCAAAATGTGGGGGCTGAGGGATACAAGAGTCACAGCAGGCTCAGGGCCCTTTTGTATAATGCTCCACTGCCCAGCAGCCCCACCAAGGGCCTGGCGTGGGGTGTGTGAAGCACAGAGGAAGTGAGGAAGTGACCGCTGGCCTCTAAGTGGCTTTGAAGCAGGGTTCTAGAAAGCTAGTTACATTTTCCCAGTGGTTTCCACAAGAAAATGCAAAGTAACTTTGCAATGAAAATATGACTCCAAAGTAAGAATGCAGCAAAAAAAAAAAAAAAAGGTAATGAAGTATTAAAAAGCAGCATCATTACTCTGTGAAAACACAAAACAGATCAGGACTGCTACTAAAGTTATATAATGGCCCCTCTTTTTTAAAAAGGACCTTCTTAGATTGAAGACTCAGTTACCACATAGTTATTATCAACCCCCGCCAAATACTCACTGCAGATTTAATAAAGAACCAAAACGGCCTTGATGACTTACCCAGAGAGGCTTCTAGAACTTCATCTGAAAACTTAAATGTGGGGAAGAGCAATGCCAGTTCCCGGCTGGCGGCGTCTCTGTCCTGGCTTCCGTGGACTGCATTAAAGGGCATTTCTGTGCCGAACTGAGCACGGAGACTGTGAACATAGGTAAAATGCACAAGAAACAATCGTTTCATTTGCAAAGAAACATTTTGCTCTCCGGCAATGGGCACCAGCAACCAGTTAGCACCCCGCGTTTCTGTGAAATGGCTTTCTCTCCGTTGGAAATGCCAAGAACAACAAGGACAGTAGCTGACATCTATTTCATCGTGATGTTGGGTGTTCTGGGCAGGTTGCCAGGTACTTCACATACATGATCCCGTTTCATTTGCACCACAGCTCTGTGAAGGACACTCTGTCATGATTCTCAGTTTAAATACGCACAAGTCACGGCGCAAGCTCGGGAGCTCCCATTTTGTTGCTATCACTACCAGGGACTAGCACCCTGCCAGGAGCTCGAGGGTGTGCATCATTAATTCTTCAATAACAGCATAAGATAATACTAATATTGCCAGGGCTTCCTTTTTGTCAAGCACTGTTCCAAGTGTTTCATATGTATATATACGTATATACACATACATACGTAAGTACATATGCTCATTTAATCCTCACATCAATGTCTGAGGCATTGTAGTACCCATTTTTCAGATGAAGACATTGAGGCACAGAGAGATTAATGGCCCTAGGAAGTGCTCTTAACAAACTCAGTGGCATCCCAGGATAGGTGTCATAACCCCATTTTACAGATGAGAGAACTGAGGCTCAGAGAAAGGACTTACCCGAGTATGTGGTTAGCTAGGATCTGAACCCTAGGCTGTCTTACTAGTCCCACGTATGAATATTCTGGCCCCCTACAACTGCAGGGTACAACTGCAATTACTTAGTCTCTTGCTCATTTCTTTCCTGGTGGCTGGGGCTCTCTCAGCTTCAAAGGCAAGACACAGTGAATTTGGCATTGGCGATGCCAGGCTAAATACAGGGCCAAGGCAGCCTAGTGCAGAGTGCAGAACCAGGTGCTCAGACTCTAGGGGGCCTCAGAACACCCTGGGTGGGGAGGAGAGTGGAGAGAGTTGAGTCTACAATGCAGATCCCTAGGCCCTGCCCAGAGTCTCTGACTTGGCAGACTTTACCGGGGCCCTGCAATCCATATTTCCTGGATGAGTGTTGCATGTGTTTTCTGGGACCACACTATGGAACCCTCTTAACTGTAGGACTGGATCAGAGGGTGAAGATAGCAGGGTCTCCTCAAATAGATAACAAAGAGGTCAGAGTCTCTCCAAATATACATAAAAGGGGAATTTGGGGCTGAATATAGAGCAGGGCTCTTGGCTTCCCAGGTTTTGAGATAAATGAAAAGAACACAGCTGGTGACATCACCTGTCAGGCTGCTCCCTCCTTGCCACATCAGGGTCACAGGGCCCCATGAGCGTTCGCCAGGCAGCGGTCACGTCCTCCGTGCCCTCAGGCCTGGTGAGGATCAGGAGGTGGCTCGGTCCACTGCACATGTGATGTACCAGCTTCCCAAATGCCTCCTAGCACAGGGAGAGGAAACGGTGACCCAGGGCAGGGGTCCTGGGGCCTATAGTGGGTCAGCGGGCCCATCCCACCCTCAGGAAGGGAGGGGCTCAGTGAGCAGCCTTGCCACAGGCCAGCATGCCCATGGAGGGCCCAGGGAGGGGTGGTGGTGATGATCAGCCACACCCAGAGAACCCAGATAAAGGCAAAGGCAGGAAAATGAGGCTTTGAATTGACTTGTTTGGGGTTGGGTGAGAGACTATAACAAGTTAGGTAGGGACGTGTGTGGAAATCATGTGGATGCTGGATAACCATGGGGTGCGATGTAGCTAAGACTTTTTTTGCAAGGCCTTGCAACCCTTCCCGCTGCTTCAAGTAGCAGTACTCTGGTTTTCCTTTGGGGAGTAGCCCTTCCCCATTTCACTTGGCCTAGTCTGGCTGACAACCATGATGCCCCTCCATCCCCTCCAACCCCACCAAACACACACACCTCACCTGAGAGGTGGGGCTATGACCAAGCTAGGTCCACTAGGCCTCCGTCCCAAGTAGGGGAGTCAGAAGCAGAAGCACGTGGAAAGTGGTTGAATCTGAGTTGTCCAACAGTAGCACCTAAAGTGACTGTTCATGGGATTCTGCTCCTAAGGTCCCTACAACTGTCTTGATTCTTTTTTTTTTTTTTTTAAGATTTTATTTATTTGACAGAGAGAGACACAG